TGACTATAAACGGAACGAAAGCCCTCGAGAGCCAGAATCCATTGCATTCATCGTCTTCTCATTCATCCAATATATTCATAGCAGAGGCTAAAGAAGGAGAAAAAATAGTATTGATTTGTTCGGCTTCTCCTTCAAAACCCGTCCCAAAACTAAAGTGGTTTCGAAAGAACACTGAATTATTGCCGGGTATGAGACAAATGATGTTATTATGCGAATGGATATATAAATATATATTAATATACTATATATGTTGTGTTTGTTGTATATCTTCAACATTCTTGACAGAAGCGGCTAAGACTTCAGTGAACAAAACATTAGTGAATAATCGGCACATCTTCTATACGATCGACAGTTATCTCACACTTTATCCCAAAAGTGAAGAGGAGTACAGATGTGTTGCCGAACATCCGGGCCTTTCAAAGCCGTTGAGGTCTCGAATACTAATCAATATATTCAGAGCGCCGAACGTTCCCGTAATCGATGGCTATAATAACGGAGATATCGTTAGTTTTAATGAGAGACTGACGTTGAAGTGCAGCTCAACCAACGGTTATCCGCCGCCGAGTGTTATTTGGCTGCGAAACGGATTAGAGATCGACAGGAGTCAGACTGTGGGTCAACGAAACGAAGTGATCAACACATTGACGTTCACCGTCACCGCCGACGACAATGCGGCTCAATATACATGTCAGGCCACAAATCCATTGACTCCAATCCCATTAACACAAACTGTTATTCTAAGTGTCTTATGTTAGTTGCCGTCAATTCTTATCAAATTTTTATTCAAATTTATAACACATTATCATTCGCGCAGTCCTTCCGGCGAAGATCTCAATTGTCGGTCCAAACGAAGTGCCATTAATTGAAACAAAAGGTATTTAAAGTTTTTGTTTTAGTGTCATTTGTGTTAATGATTTTTGTTATTTTTTGTAATTAAATTCGTCGGTAATTTCAAAATCATTAACGATTAGAATAAATCAAATAATCTAATATTGATTCGTCCCATGAGTTAATCATTTTGTTAATAAGTCATGTAATTTATAATGAATTTTCTGTTGAGATAATAATTCATTAGGAAATGAATATAAATTATGAGATTTTGATCTTATTATTCATTTTGCTTATACTTGTGGTATAATTCATATAACAATCGATAGTAAATCATTATATGCATAAAAAGAGGAATTATTTTGATATAATAGTAATAACAATATATTAATAATAGGGACGACCATTAATCTGAAGTGTACGGCATATCCGGCTTCTCCGCCTCCATTTGAGACCAAATTAAAATGGTTTGTCGAAGACATCGAAATCACTTCAGCCGACGAACACATGAATGTCATCAAAAAAGATAATAACAATTGGATTGTGTCCTCCAATTTGACGTATACTATCACACGAAAAGAGCCCAATCTTATTGTATTTAAATGCACAGGTACATTTTTGATTATTGGTTATTTTAAATACGTATGTCTTTTAATAGGAAATATATTTAGTTTTAGTAAAATATTAAACTAAAAAATGTTAGTAAAACCATTTCAAAAGAATTGCAATCAAATGAATGGAGTTTTATTTTTATTTGTGTAAAATTTTTATGAAATAAGAGTAATTGAAATTTAAGTGAAATAAATGTTTGATTAAACGATAATCGATAACCAAATTGCGATCAAAACATACTGTGTTTTATAGGATATACGTCTGCGATGAAGGAGGAGAGCGTCTCAACCGTACATAAAGTGAATGTTATCCGTAAGTATTGGAAGTCATAGAACTCATTACTTATCACAATATTATACAACCAGTGCTTTGGCACCAAAAATATGCTTTTTTAATAAACATATTCTTGGGGTTGTATTCTGTTTAGTATTATTGTATACAAAATAAGTTTTCATGAATAACTAAATCCAATAGATATGAAAATTGGATTCATAGTAGACGTCCATATAGTGTGTGTTCCCGACAGCATAGAGTCGATCAACAAATTCTGGAGTTTTATCTAAAAAAAGAAAATTATAAACAAATATAAGAAAATTCTTTGTCCTTATCTTTTTGAATGTGTTTAAAAAATGATGGTTTGGATGAGAATGGGATCAGAATTGGGATCATATTTGAGAAGTCTATTTGATTACAAGCTTTTAGAATACAATATATGAATACAATATTTGAATGAATAGTTTTAGATCTTTAGAAAAGTATTCAATGTTGTGATAAGTTTTCCGTCTTTTTATTTTGCATTCAAATGCATTGAATTTATTGAATGTATTGAAAGCACTGGCGGTTAGTTTTGTATATGATATGATTTATAGCTGACTTTAATGCAAACATTGCTTCTTCAGACGCACCGGATTTGCCAACTCTTCTGGGAATCAAAGACTCGTGGGTTTCAGTGGTTGCGGGAAATATACTGAAATGCAAATGTGTCAGCTATTCAGGCAATCCTAAGCCACACTTGGTTTGGCTCAACCATCACAACCGTGAAGTAGGCTTAATATCACTCATCTCTATGCGTACCACACATTGTCTTTGCAGTGATTAATTGCATCTGTTTTTCCACTATTAGATTAGCGCCATCTCATCGCTTACAGGAAGTGGTGTGTCGTCTGAGTTAGTGATTAGACCCGAACCGCAAGATAACGGCCAGACATTCAAATGTCGTGTTTTGCATCCAGCGCTTCAAAAGCCCTACGAAATCGCCTTCAAATTAACCGTTTATTGTGAGTCTCTATTCGTTACGTTGTTTTGCTTTATTTGGTCTATAATTATATGAGAGACAAATGTAATCCCAAAATGTATTGAATGGCATTGAATGAAAAGAAAAAGTTATGCCATTAAGTCATATGCCGTTTGCATTGCAATGATAGGCCACTACCGAAGCAATCGATTTGTTGATCCACTTTTATTTTTGTTTTTTTGTCGATGACTTTGGGGTGCAATCAGTCACGTGAATGGCATTAAATAAACAGACAATAAAACTGTTCTCTCTTTGATTGCTTTAAATTGTGAGATGAGATCCCAACGAGTGTTCTGGCAATTGATTGAATGAATAAACTTTTAGTGCTGTTATGTTTTGGCACAAAAAAGTAAGTCTAGTCACTAGTTGTGCGGACAGGCATCTGATGGGTTCACCTGCTGTTTCAATGAGGGACTATAATATGTCACAATATAAAGCAATTATATACCAGAATAGTTTGCGTTAGCATTTGATTCGCATTTAAGCGGCTATTCATACGACGGGCCACTGTTTTGTATGGCACTGAGAGGTGATATAAAAACCCTTATCGACTCCAATGATTAATGGTATGCCAGGGCTGACACTCGGAAGCAGTTATGATAAAAAAAAGTGGAGAACACATCGAAAAACACGCAAACGCTTCCAATGGATTCAATTCTTATGCATTACTTACTGATAGAAAAGTCTCGTGTCGTTCACTCCTACAGTTCTCCATCCATAGACCAGACAATAGTGTTTTTTGTGATAAAATACACTAAAAACTCTTATTTAACATATTTTTGCAACCATTAGATCCACCGAAACATGTCTTCATTGTGTTGCCGCCATTTATTAAGGAAAACGATACCGTAAGTAATCTTTAGCCAACTTTTTTTCTCTCCCACACATAAATTATTTTCTCTGTTTTTTGTACTTAATTTTATACACAAATTCTGTATTTTAAGTGACTTTTTGTATCGAAAGTAATTTAATTGAATGGAAAGTCGAGTAATTTAAAGAATAAGTCTAAAGTTATTTTCACTCAGACTTTTTAAGTTGTCATAAATATTAAACACAGAGAGATATTAAGGAAATGGATCGATATATTGTCGTTCAATGGCACCAATTTATATGCACCGCTTATATACAGTGTTTGTGCAGTAAATCATAGGATAGTTTTCGAGACCATAACCTCATCATAAATGCTGGACTGGTATCGCATTGACATCTAATGAAGTCCATCTTATGGACAATTTATCTATTCTAATGATTAGATACGGAATATTGTGTTCAATAAATTGTGACAAACTTTAAGTCTGGATGTATTTTTGCGCCCGTTTTTCATTATAACTGTTATAATCACAGAATGAGGCGATATATTGTTTGAGTCGTTCCGACATAAATAGGACGACCAGTTTGTGTTGATGTTGTCTTTGCGGCCAATTGTGTGCATTTTGAGCACAAATTTTGTTTTGTATGTCATTTAGACATAAATTCTTTGATGATATCTTAATGATTACATCCAATACATGAGCGCATAAGTTATGGTTAATGTGTTTTGTCTTTTGAATGATACACTCGTTTAGACCATTAGACGAATGGCCCAAAACTCATAAGCGATTAATTTTAATAATTTAATTTCCAAACATTAAAGCCATTAAATTGTTTCTGCCTTTAATTTGTTGTGTTTTAATGCAATTGTGTTTAATATATTGACAAAAAACAGGTCAGAATCGAGTGCCAGACGAGTGCCAGTAATCCCGGAGCTGTGATTACACTATTGAAAAACGGCAAGAATATGAGGACTCAATCGCAAGAATTATATTATAATAATAGCAGTGATGCGGAAAACTATCAAAACATAAGTGCCGCTAAAATAACCAAAAGCTTTGCCACTATTGTTGTGTCCGTCGAAGATAATGAAAGTGTTATAACATGTTTAGCGACAAATCCTGTCATATCTGAAGGTAACAACTTTTGTTCGTCTGATGACCTGTTATTCCCTTTTTATCTCAAATGGTTTATACAGCGCTGTATAGACTGATAAAAACGTTAATATTATATATAATTATTACATTCAATGAGATTTCTTTTCTGTTTTTCGCACTCTTTTTGTGTGTATTTAATGCACATTAGGAGCGGTCAGAGCGGATGAAGTGCTTTCCGTCTATTGTAAGTCATTCCTGATATCGATTTGTTTTTCAATTCCTATTTTAGTCATCAATTTATTTTCAAATATAAAGTTAAACCGAGGTTTGAGGAGAAGGCGACACACCTGGAGCTCAACGAATTTGAGAATAAAGTGGTAAATTTGTCGGCAAAAGCTAATCCACCGGTCAATAGATATGATTGGAAATACGTTAAGTTGGACTCCATTAGTGGCCACAGTAATGGCCGCAACGATGGCTCCTATTTATCGTTGAACAGGTCTGAAGAGATGACACATCTGAAGACTAAGAGCACTGTTCGAGCGCAGGGATCGCTACTTCACATGAGTAATGTATCGCGATTTGACTCTGGATTATATGTGTGCAGCGCTACCAACAAAATAGGAGATTCAAGCGCTTCCCTATTCCTCAATGTATTTTGTAAGACGAGAAATAAATTACTTTTTCTTCCTTTTTATCTCTCTGTATATTTGTGAACGAATAACATATCCTTTACTCAAATTTCATATTTAAATGCAGACCCGACTTCAATCGTGAGCCTCAAAATAGTGACACAACATGACAGTCCTGTTCCTCGTGAAGGCGACTCCTATTTTCAATTACATTGTAAAGTGGACTCAAATCCAGTGACAAAAGTCAAATGGAGGAGAGGAGAGACCGAAAGTGATGAGAATATCGATTGGTTTAGAGCTAAGTTTGATACCAATAACCAGACTTCTACTGATCCGGCGGTCGATCAGATTCTCACTATTTTCAACATTTCACGATCAGATGCCGGCGTCTATACGTGCTATACATTGAGAGAAATGAAACAAATTATAGTTAATATTATGTTTAAACCAATGATTATTAAGAATAATTTGAGAGTTGCGGCAGAAGTTGGAGAAACACAAAGCATTAAATTTGTTTGTTTAGTCAATGCATATCCTTATGTGTACTTCAATTGGAGCACTAATTCAAGGGATATTATATCAGACAATAAGTTTGTGATCATTGAAAGCATCGAAGAAAGTTCTAATCGTTTTAGGAGTGAATTAATTGTAAACATTTTAAATGAAATGGATTTTAAATCGTTTAAATGTATTGCTTATAACGAGTTGGGAAGCGATGAAGTGATGTTTGAAGTCGTTAAGAAAAGTGAGATATCATTTGATTTTTATATCTATATTTATGAGATTTGCACGAATGTATTGCATGTCTTTTCACACTTCAGACGTCTCTCTAATAATTGATTGAATGACAGATTTTCCGGAATCGCCAACCGATTTAAGGACAACGAATGTGAGCCGCAATTCCGTTGTTATCGCTTGGAATCCAGGCTTTGATTTTGGTTACGAACAGAGTTTTCGCATTAGATATAGAAAAGTGGACCCAAAGGCAGCAAATGTTGAACCCTTTCATTTCAAATACATTATTGCGAACAACACTTTAAACAATGTGTTAATTGCAAACTTAGAGGCGGACACTGAATACCAGTTCAGTATATCATCGCGTAATAAACTCGGAGAAAGTCTAATGAGTAGAGAGTTTTTAACAGTAAAAA